TTTTTTTTTTATCACAGAGTTGTTAGAAATGCATAATCTTTGGCCATAATGTTCAACAGAACTTTGAAAAGCACTGCAAGTTACTAAAACTGTCCTGCAGCATAGGTTGTGCCCTCACGGTCCTTGCGAGCACTCTCTTCTAGCCGTGCCCTTTTCACTCCACGACGACGGTGGGCCCTTGCTTCTGCTGTCAGACGCTCGGACATTCTCTTGATGCGCCTCACATCGCGGGAATCACTGAAAGTAACTAGATCTCTAGATGGCAGTATGTTGAGCTCTTCCAGGATGTGCTCCAAAGTAGCATGACCCTTGTTGAACCACAGGATTGCCATAGCTGCGGCAGTCTCGACAACCGTTCGGGAGACAAACTTAGTCTTGGGGCAAAGTAGCCAAATTTTGCTGTTCAGGGATTCCGATGCGTTCTGGGTTTTCCCTTTGATGCATCGAGCAAGGAGCTTCTCATCCGTTAGCCGCTTATAAATGGGCAAAACAGCCAATCCCTGTGCTTTTGTCAGGAGAGGTGTGTGGCATGGTGCAGGTTCACCAAGTGCTTCAGCGCGTTGATGTTTGCACTACGACTCTGTTCCTGCAGGGCAAAACTTGTGGCTGCCAGCATTGTCAGTAGAGCATGAGTGGAAGTACGAAGCCCATACTGCAGTGTACATATCCCGTACGCTCCCCCTGTTGCTTGTTATGGCAATCTGATAGTATGTTTGGAGCTTATGAATGGCTGGCTCTTTCATTTTCTGCCCTCGTAATAATGGCACATGCAGCTTCCGTAGCACGGTGCCAAGTCTCTTGGCCACATTATCAGTGCAGTCTTTTTTTTCTATATTGACAGCACCATAGACTTTTGACTCTGCAACTGCACTATATGCTTTGCTGTCACCGTCACTCAAGAATGTCATGAAATGCAGTGGGGTGTCATAAGTCAATGTTCTCTGCCAAATGCGCATTGCAGCCTCTGTTTCCATGGCATGGGAGGAACAGTCTGCATTTTTTTCACAGGCTGGGCCATCGAATGCCTGCCACACTTCCTCGTCTGGGCCCATTTCCTTGTGCCTACTGCATGTCAGGCAGTAATTTGATATGACCTCGAAGTCTAAGCAGAGGCCAGTATCTAAGGAGATAACTGCGCCAATCCCGTTGTGGCTTTTGTAGCCCCTCTTCTGCCAAGTGCCGTCGAACATAACAGCCACATCAGTTTCGCCTGCTACTTCTTTCGTCAACTCTCTGGATCGGCGCAAGTTTTCACTCACAGCTGCCATGGCAGCGGTGTGCACCTTCTTTGCTATCGAAAAAAATCCTCGGTGGTGTATTGGCTTTGGGAGTCCAATAATGGAGCAAAATCTCGACAATTGCTCATGCCCAATGCCGACAGCGCGTGCAGCCATCACCGCCTTCACATTTACAGCGAAACTATCTCGGGAGCTCCCACTGTCGTACCGTTGGCTCACTTGGCTGCTGCCATCCGCCGTAACACGCAGTGACGTATAGAAGCACGAAAGAACAGTCGCTGAGTATTCGCTGTTTTCGCAATGAAGTTCGAGGAGCGACGAAAGTCCCTTGCGCTTTTCTGCCGGCTCCCTAACGGCAAGTTTTTGAATACCGCAAGCAAGGCATGCCGCACCTGCCACAAGTGCCGTCAGCAAGAGGGTGTCGCACAAAACTGTCGTTGCACAAACCTCATCGCGCTGTCTTTCGTCTTTTTCGAAGAAGCCGAGCTTCCGAAGCACTGACGAAAGAAAGCGCAGCATCAATCCCTTCATCGCAGCCACTGTCGCTCGCGCACTCGTCGATGCCGCCGTCAGGCCTAGCACACGTAGGCGCGTTCTCGTTTGTCGCCGTCGTTCGGTGCACTTTATGCCGCCTTCCCTTGAACTTGTGCTTCGTTCTAAACTTCTGTGGTCTCACGTTGCACTTTTTCAGGCTTGTCATCGCGGAAATATGCGTAGACGCGCAGAAAAGCAGACGGACCAAATGCCGATGGCCGCCACCAACACAGCTGACAATGACTCGGTAGCCAATGGCGATGCGGCTTAGGGTGCCGCGCGTTTCAAACCGCTCAAACCACGTGATAAAAAGGCCTCGTTTTTTATTTTTTTTGCCCACGTACGAAACTGGCAGTCGTCGGAGCTGTAAGAAGAAGGCCGGACACAACTTTCCCAACTGATCGTGATGGCGGGCGGCACTGCAACGGGGAGCAGCGCGCAGTCAAAGATGGCCAATATCGGCGCAAATTCACGAAATTTTGAGCCACCGCGATGCCTTCACACACATTTTTTGCATTTTGCGGTTCGAATTTAGTTTTGAAATTTTCACAGATGAAAGAAGAAGGTTTGAAGATTACAATGCAATAAAAATCAAATACGGGAAATTTCGCTAAAAATGCGATTTTTCGACTCGCATCTCCCCTTAAGATGCCTGATGGCTAAGTGCCTCTTCTCCCCTTAATTGAATGGTGGACATGACGCACAATGCATACAAATGTTCAATCCTTGGTGCCTTCCTGCTATCTTTAACAGTATCATTTTTTTTTGCTTCTTGCCGTAGATACAAGTCACCGACGACGTTTTGGAATATTTATATTTATGTAGAAATTTATTGTGCCTTATATTATTACAATTTTGAGGGCCTAAAACAGCATTTTACCTGCCTGTCTTTGGCGCCTAAAACACACTTCTTTAGTGCCTAAAAATCCGGCCTCTGCTGATAACGGCCAATTCTGTCCTTAAAATTGAAGTTTAGTACATAAATTCATCCTAAAACTCAGTTACAAAAATACATTAGTGCAATGGGAACCTTGACGGTGCATTTGTGAAGTCTGAAATATCCAACAAGTCTGAATTTTTGTAGTCCAAAAAATTTGTCCGCGACTGTATCTCTCCAAAGTGCGAATGAGCATGTTTTAGCAATAACTTTCTCCTTGACAAGTTCACTGATACCATTTTCTTGTATATATTGGCGAAACGCCACAAAACATTGTTGTTAGCACCGTGTTTGTGTCTTCTCGTCTTCGTCCTGTTCCTTTCTTCAAAGTACCAACCAGCCAAATTCAAGGTGATAGTAAAGAAGGAAAACCACAGCATATCCTAGGAATGAATGATGCTTGGTGAAGCGAGGCATTCGTCACTCCGTCCGTGCTTCCGTGCGTCCAATCGTTCTTGCTTGCATCCATACGTGTGATCATCGGTATGTCCGTCTGTCCGTTCGTTGATCTGTCTGTTCGTGCGGCCGTCCCTCTGTCTGTCTGTCACTCCGTGCGTCCATCTGTATGTCCGTCCATTTGTCTGTATATTGAACACTCGAAGTACAGCCATCTCATATCTTTTCATCATGTATTCATCATATGCCGCTATCCAGCGAATGCTCTAAGGACCGCTCTTTCGAATATGTGCCACCGGTGGTTACGCGCTATGCCATAAAGAGCTTTGCCACTAAAAAACATCGGCAATGCAACGTACACTGTACAGCTTCAGGTGCCAATGCAGTAATCTGTCCCACGCGCAAGTCGACAGCATCTGACGTGGTCCTCATAGTTAGGGACTAACACCTAAGCATCGCCTATGTTCCCTTAGACAGCTTACCTTTGGTGAAGAACAAATCTACGAACGCTTCGTGGTACTACAGTTTTCTTGCTCGATTGCTGCAACCGCATATCGTCATCTCTCGTTTCACAAAACAGTTTGACTAACGATAGCCGATCTCAGACTGCATCCTGGCACTACGGATCAGCGCCAAAGCCACGACCGCTTCATCAAAACAATTTTATCTACAGAAAACATCACAACCCAAGCAGCCGTGGCCAGCAACGCAGGCTAAAACCACGTTAAAAGAAAATAAGGTGGAGGTTGCCAGGGTTTGTTTCCAGTGAATACACAATGTGGCCAGAGAATGAAAAGTGCTGGCAAAAACGCTTATACCCTGCACCTTCCTTATTACAGCGCTCATTAACAAAACTCTAGCAGCCACGTGTTCACATTGCACAAGTGTGCAGTTGTTTCAAATTTCAAGCCGTGAGGTTGTTCAATGGCTCTTTAATGAAAGCATGCGATGTCTTTGGACATGTTCAATAGCCAGGGCTGAGGAAATGAGAAAACTCGCAAGGGCGATCTGAGATGTTGAAGTGATGCACAAAACACCAGCTCATGCACCCACAGATGAGCTGCCTATTGTGTGCTGCCTCATCAACATCATGGCTCACCAGCCAGCCGTTCACTAACCCCCTCCCTGCTGGGGCTCATGCTAGTGGACATGACTACTGCAGCAACTGCTCAGTGTCCTTGAAAACATGGGTCTTGGTCATTGCCCACAGTGTTGTCTATCCATACTGCAAAAGTGAGCAGCTCTTGTGCTAACAAAACAGCACAGCCATAAGCAAATCATGCAGCGTGCGGCTGCTTAGGCATGGCTGCTTAACTATTGCAATTAATGTTGTGTTTGACTGCACGCATAGGTAACTAATTATTGCAAAAAAACATGGACAAAGTGAGGACGATAGAGAGAATGAAGCAGACATTTTTTTTACATATAATGAGGTGCGAACAAAAATTACGCCATTTGTCTTGGGGCACAACTTGAAAAATGCCTCAAGTACTGAAAGCCAAAGTTTGCATTTATTCGCCATATTTCTTGCGAGATTTGCAACTGAATTCCTTATCTGTGAACACAAATTTTTACCCTTCTAAAATGAATGTATTTTCACCATGTTTCTTGTTTCCCACTAGTGTAGCAATCTGAAATGAGAGTTTGCTAACTGCATCTATTCTTCTTCACTACTTGCACCTGAGTCGGCAAAACAGCACTGTGATTACAGACGGATCCATGCGACAACTTGTTGCCAGTACATTGGCAGTGTACCTTAAAGCCGGAGGTATAGAGGACGAGGCATAGCTGCTGGCACACATTTCAGCACTGAACTGAAGAAGAACAAGTGCACAGAGAGCCCGTCTGTCCCTCGGGAATGTTTTGCTGCCAGCCAGCCCTGACAAAGAGGTTACCTTGGTGATGTGCTCAGCCTCCAGGATGTCTCGCAAGTGTCCTTCAGTGAACAGCTGCGGTGCCGACTGCACGTCGAAGAGGAACACCTCGACTGCAGGGGTGGCCAGCTGCACAAGGGTCAAGGGGCCCTGTGGACCAAGGTTGACACCCTCGGTGTCAAGGGCTACCAACTGGTGCTGGCTGCTCAGCCGCGAAACCAGTGTCTCACACTCCTTCACCTGCCGCATTGAGAACAAGACAAAGGGTTGCACAAAACTTCGTTTCTGCTCACTTTTACCCCTCAAGTATTTTTCATACTCCCAGGTGAATAGAAACTTTCTGAAATTAGTGCCACTCCCAAAGATAGAGCATCAAACCTAACAGACATTGAGCTGTCTTTCACACTTTCTAATGGATAAAGGATAAATTCGAACAAACCTGCAACTGCCTAGCAAAAGCATTAGACTGCTCTCATTGTGATATTTTTTACACATCGTGCCAGCAATGTTGCAAATAGCAACACAAGTTAATATTTAACATAGATCAATTAGTCATGTTAAGAGTGACAGACAGATATCACAACCGTGCCTTTATTTGTCTAATCACGTCTTTATTTGTGTTCAACAGCAAGTTTTACATAGCCGTAAAGGAACAGACAGAACGCTGAATTGGCTGATGATCTGCCTCTTCTATGCTTTCTTCCTGGCTGCCCGTGCACCTGAACTTTGTTGTTGTTGTTCGTCATCACACTCGGCCGTGACTGTAAATGCTCAGGCTGCCAACTGGCGGGCAATGCTGCCTGCGTTGTTGTAAACGGTCCCGATGACACTGTGGCTTGGGTTGAACCTCTGCGGATCATGACTCTGAGCAGCAACACTGACAGTGTTGTGGTGGTCGACGACCTCGACCACACTGCGACTGTAAACAAAAAAGTTTCCTTTTCCTCTGGTGGATGAAGTTAGAAGCTTCGCGCATGTCAAAGTTCTCTGCAACAATGTCTCTTGGCATTTTTTGGCAATGGTTCTCGCGGGTCGCCCTGACAGTTTCGGTTTAATCACTGGTCTTTCCCAAACAGCTGGCCTTTGTCCCACCACATTTTTGAAAACAGGGCAGGAAATTGAGGGTCCACTGATGCAACTTGCTACACCAAAAACAGTCATCTGCGAATTTCACAACAAGTTGGAGGGTGATTGGGTGTTGTTCTACACACCTGCGTCAAGGTGGAGTGAAGTTCCCATGCTGTTTTGCAACACGGCTTTTGTGTTTGCAGCATTGCCATCTTGGGGCTCCTCGATGTTCTCAAGGACGCAATTCTTGATCCATGCCATGTGGAGCTGGGACAGCCTCATTGGAAGCTTGTGTAGGAGACTTGTGCTGTGCGGGTCTTCAATAAAACCACCATGTCGGAAAACTTGGCATCTTCTGGAGAGGCGTCTTTTAGCGAGATGAAAAAACACTAGCATTCGGTCAGTGAATGTCTGAAAGCGCCCACAACCGCTTCCGTTTGGCAAGGGAGAAATGTGGTGCAATCCATGGACATGTATGTTTCATGATGTGAAACATAAATGTCCACGAGCCACTGCCTCAAAGTACACAAATAGTGGCAAGCATGTGGGAAGCTTTTCGGATAGCCATGGACGAAAAATGCTTTTGGCCATTGGCAAGGATGTTTGCATGTTGGCTACCACGACAGAGCTTGAGTTCGGTGTTTGTATCATGAGCAGTTATGCAGTTTTCTGCCAGTGAGCTGCAGCGCGCAGTTGCAGCCTCAAGGTTGAGTCCCTCTTGAGCTCTGTCCTCGTCAAGCTGGATTCGCTGATGGTACAGGAAATCTGGCCGAAAGCAGCAATCAAAGCTGCACTCCATCCTGCACAGGACTTTTGCCTCATACCTTGGTGCTACTCCACTGCGCTTACCCGAAGGCACTCTACGGCTACGGACTATTTCTGCAGCTTTGTCCAGGCCTCACACACTGCTCAAGCACTAATGGTCACCACCTAACTGTCGGCCTTGTTCTGGAACCTGTGGAATACCATTAGTCCACAGACTGCCAGTAATGATTGGGTCACCGGTGAAAATCTGGAGTGTTCCAATGCGAAGTGGCCCAGTTGGTCTGAGAGCTGTGCAAGGACACACATGAGTTTCTGTGTTTGTCGGCTAAATCGGATTCAATGTTTTGGAGACCACCGCAGCTAGCAAGGCATTCATAGTGCAGAGTGGTGGTACAGCGGTAGGACATAACTCGGGGCTAAGCACTATGAAGACATTAAGCTCGAAGTGTAGTTGCACGAGGGTACACCACAGCTGCTTGCGCTACACAACGATACGCACGTGGAGCCAGTGGCAATGTTAGACAAATAGGAAGTGGTGGTTGTGTTCGATGCAGTAGGATCCTCGCCAGAGAAGCACAGTGTGAAACTATTTTGCTTGCAGCATCAAGACATAAAATAGTTTTTTTTTCTCACTTTTTTCTGCGCTAATTAGTGCTTTTACCCAGTCACTTATTATATATGACGATGATGATGAAACACACTATATTTGGGTAAGTTGTGAAAATGCATATATGTACACGCGCTTATGTATGTAGTATGTATGCGCATATGTGAATAGCTATATGTATAAATAATTGTGTATATATGTGTTTATTGCTAAATATGCTCTGCTAAGCTGCTTTTATGTACTCCGATATGGACCGATCACTAGCCAATGTAGGCTAACGGTCCACATATCTTGTAATCTTTTCTTTGGTTTGTCAATAAAAATCAGATTGATAAAAAAAAACAGCACCGCTCAGCAGCTCAGGTGCCGTCGAGTCCCGAGAATGAGGTGCCACGGCAAGCGTTAGCAGTGAGCCCAGCCAACAAGAGCCCGCGCGCTGTCTTGATAGTACGTATCGAGGTCCGCCCGGCGTTCCTTGAATGCTCACCCATTGCAGAGTTTAAAATGCTGGATCCATGTCAAGAGAAGCGCACGTAACATTCCCAAACCGTAGGAACCTGTGTACCTTTGCAGACAAAGGTGGTAGCTAGGTTCCTGCCGGGTCGTACCCTGGAACCACCAAAGAGACATTGACCCCGTCCATGGATGATTTGATAGGTAGCTGCAGCAGCAATTAGGTCGCGCGGTCCATGATCGAAAAAGTGTGGACCGTAATCTAAGAATGCAGGCACCTATGCTGCTGGCGACTCGCAAGCACATATAGCTTCAGCTTTAAGTTCGAGTGTCGTTGTAGGCTGCGCCATTGTAAAGAAAGAGACAATAGACAACGCTCGTACACTGAGCTGGCAGTTCACCTGCCACTTTTTCAACACTTTCCACGTGGCTGCCCGAACGCTATCATTCATACCTACCAAGCTCAAGGATTCTGAATTCGGGAGATTTCCGCGACGGGGGGACAGGGTGCGCTGAATTATTTGCTCCAATTTTTTTTTTCAGCACAAAGAAAAACCCTAAGGACAAACAAACAAAAAACATCGCAATGAACACGATGGGGTGGGGGTCTCAATCGCAGAACACACGAGGTTTCCCCACTAAGGTGAGAGTCTCAAAGGGTCAACACAGCTAGTAGAATCTATTTCGGTCAGAACAACTCACGTATGTCTTCCTGAGACACAAGTGAACAGTCGGGACGGCGCAGCTAGCTGTCGTAAAAGCACGGGTCGAAGCTTTGCTGACTAGATTCTTGTGACGAAAACGCCAAAACATGTCTGGCCCCCTTTTATTGTGATATCAATTACATGAACAGTCTATGCTGATTTTTTGCCATCGCTGCTGTCATTCACCAATTATGTATACGTATTTATATATATGAACACTCAACAAAGAAAAAAAATTGGCCCTGTACCTGCATGTTTCATTGCAAATGTCGCCAAAAGACTATAGTCTTGCATGTAGAGAGAAGGAATAAAATGTTTATTTGATGTTCTGCGCGAGAACATCAGTGAATTCTATTCTGGAAGCGCTGCGTTAAAAAGTTTCGATCCGTGCAGCGAAAACGAACGAGCGCATCAAGGCACGTTAGACACGAGCTACATCTGGCAGTTATTTTCGAAAACGAAAGAAGGCATGCGCACTCGCAGAGGAAGATGCGCACCTGTCTTGGAGGCGATAAGGTGTAGAAGGCAAAGCGATGGGCCGGTGCCACCACTGTGTCGTCTTAGCAAAGCATTGGAAACACTTGCCTTTTTGAGCATTGCGTTGCACTGCCAGCGCAGCGTGATAAACGCTACGGTTCTTAGAAATACTTGTGTGTGCCTCCTCTAGCATAAAGGCACACATAAAAAACATCGAGGTGTTGTTATGGTGCCTCTGGTATGCACAATAATTGCTTTTTAATTGACAATCGCACAAGTATAAACGCTGAAAATTGAGCAATATCAGTGGGCGCTGCAAATGGGGTTGGCCGTTTGGGGTATCGTTTGGCGCTGTTAAAGAGATCGTTACCGCGGACAAACAGACAAATGTACAGGCAGATCGACAGAAAGACAGACAGACAGACCAAAATTTTGGCATCGAAGGTCCCCAAAAACGACTATCGTCTTTCAAAAAGCTGCCCGTGCTTGGGGCCCAGCTCATCGCGATGTGCCAACAAGCGCTTATCTCTCTCACACGTACTTTGCCCTGCGGATCGAAGAGGGAAAGAGGGGGAGGTTAAATGCTTTTGCGTGCGCGCTTATCCTTTGGTGGGGAGAATCGTGTGCCTTTGGCATTCACTGGAACGATCATGTTAGTTGCCAGACTCACAAAGGTCACTCCGGTTTCTGCACAGGTCCCGTTTGTGAAAAGAGTGCGCTTTTCATACACAGCGAGGTATAACAACTGGGACACTTGTTAGTTTGTACTCATCTGTACCTGTGATTACGTATCGTGCGTCGTTTTTGCTTAAACAGCGCGTTACACGTAGAGTGGTAAATGTTGTTAGTTCGCTCTGGTCCTGTGTGTATTGTTTTCGTGCGTCATATTTGCATGAGCAGCGTGCTGCATGTTTCGATCTGCTTGCCGTTCTCAGCGTGACATTCTAAGTTGTTGCTGTCGCATTCATTGCTTCGCCCTTGCGGCGAAACTGCGATTTTTTTAGGTATTTACTGCCTTTAATTTACAGTTGCGTGCCCTCGGAGCTCGTAGATCGCTATCGCGCCGCCACGATAACGATTTCGTGCCCGACGGTTGCGGCAAACGGTAGTTCCTTTTACAATCTCCGTGCACTTGGCTGCCTACACGCCTTCAAAACTAAGTCTTT